TCTCTCCCTCTGGCCCTCTCCCCCGCTTGCACGTGCATGAGCTATCTCTAAAACAGTAAGATAAAAAATACCTGCTGCCTCCCTCATGTATTAATCACTTGATGAAAACTGCATTTTCTAGGGCCTCCTGGGGTTACAGCTAGTGAATAGCTGAGCGGATTGCACATAAAAGAAAAAATATATATACATTCCCCTGAGCCTTAAGAAATCCTTCTTCTACTGTTTACCAGAGAAGTTAAGGCATTTTTGTAATAGTAGGGCTTTGGCTGATTTCAGGCTCTGATTAGCCAACCAAACAGACTATGTAATTACCATCATTTCTGGGTACTCGAGCAACACATGAAATTCACAATTCTGGGTGACTGTAGTCATTATCAATAAATTCAATCCAACCAATTTCTGACCTAGCAACCTTAAAATCCACTCTCACACACATGTCCAAGGCTCCCATTAATAGAGGTTGGTAAGTTCTTGTAAGTCTTTTGATTTATAACCCATCTCCTCCTGGAGAAGGCTTTGTGCCTCTCTGGGCTGTTCTGAGATATAACTGTCACCATGGGCTGGAGGCAGTGAGCGACGATTACAGAGAATCCTAAGAATCAGCACAAGCACGTGCAGCAACTATGTCGGGCGCACCCACTGAAAAGCTTTTATGGAAAGGCCTGATTCCCTCAAAACAGGGAGGAAGGACTTCCTCCACCAAAAGGAGAGTCTGAGGTTCAAGGTTCCCAGCCTCGTCTATGACTGCCCACATGTCCCCATCCCAGGTCTCAGGGTTCTGCTTCTTTCCCACGCATGCCCTCACCCTAGTGGTAGTAATATCCTGGTTTTTATTTCCGATGTTTCTGAATTACATGTGTTATTTCTCTTTTTAAAATTTTATTTAGAGGTTTATAAATTGTATTGCTCTTTTCAAAGGAAACAAGTTTTGATTTACTTTATTTTTGCTGATGGCTTTCTGTTTGCGATATTACTGATTTCTACTGTTAGCATTTCCTTCTACTGCTTGGGGTTTAATTTGCTCTTCTTTAACTGGTTCTTATGTTCTTAAATCACTGATTTGAGATATTTCTTTTTAAATATTTATTTATTTTTGAGAGAGAGACAGAGCACGAGGAGGGGAGGGGCAGAGAGAGAGGGAGACACAGAATCTGAAGCAGGCTCCAGGCTCTGAGCTGTCAGCACAGAGCCTGATGCAGGGCTTGAACCTCTGAACCATGAGATCATGACCTGACCCAAAGTTAGATGCTTAACCGACTGTACCACCCAGGTGTCCTGAGATCTTTCTTTTTAAATCTAAGTATTTAATGCTATAAATTCTCTCTAAGTACTGCATTAGCTGTATCCTCCAATTTTTATGTTGTTTTTTCATTTTCGTTAAATCAAAAATATTTTCAAATTTCCCTTATGACTTCTTCCTCCACACATGGATTATGCAGAGGTATGCTGTTTAATATCTAAAAAGTTAGACCTTTTCCAGAAAATTATGTGCTATTACTATTTTTAATTTTTTTATTTTTTAAATTATTTTAATTGCTTTTAATTCATTTTTCTGTTTTTAATCACTTTTTTAATTCTATTGTGATCAGATAACTTCCTTTGTATGATTTTAATTCTTTCAAATCTGTGGTTGTTTGTTTTATGACCTGGAATATAATGTAACTTGGTGGGATTTTCACTGCCATTCGCAAAGAATGTGCAGTGTGCTTACTGGGGACAGTACTCTATAGATGGCAATTATGTCAAGTTGGTTGATAGTTCTGCTCAAGCCTTCTCTAGCCTGACTAAGTTACCATCCACTGTTCTATCAATCATTGTTCTATCAAAGGGCTTTGAAATCTCTGATTATGATTTTGGATTTGCCTATTTCTCCTTTTGGTACTATTAGTTTTTGTTTCATGTATTTCAAACCTCTGTTATTAGGTAACCCAGTATTTAGGACTGTTATGTCCTTATATATGGTTTTCTAATCCAATCTGTCAACTTCTGCCTTTATTTGGGGTGCTCAGACCACTTATATTTAAAATTATCAATGATATGATTGATTTTAGTCTTTATCACGCTATTTGCTTTCTATTTGTCCTCTCTCTTCTTTCGTTCCCTCTTCGTTCACCCTTCTTTTGGACTGATTGTTTTTTATGATGCTCTTTTATTTCCATCATTTCATTCTTATATTTACATCTTTGTTCTTGCTCTTGTTGATTTTATGGTTGCTTTGGGGTTTGTAATATACATCTTTAACAACCACAGTCTACCTTTAAGCAATATTATACTACTTCAGATGTAGACGATGGACCTTCTAGCGGTACACTTCCATCTCACCTCTTCCAACCTCTGTGGCATCATTGTCATACTTTTCACTTTTGCACTGTTCTAAGTTTATAAATTTCACAATATAATGTCAGTGTTTCTGCTTTAAGTAGTAAAAAAACTTTAAAAACTTACAATTTTTAAAACTTTATTCAGTGATGAATTGCATCACATATATTGATATTATATTGGTTTCTTTGGAACAATTTAATTGTAATGTCAGGAAAATAAGCAATTATATTCTGTTTGAAATGAAGATTTTCAATATAAGGGAAAAGGAGTATAACTTTAAGTTATACTTAAAGTATAACTATATATAAAGTATATATAAAGTATATATAATTTAATATATAAATATGTATTATTTATATATATATAAAACTTTAAATAGAATTTGATTGGTAATATCAATATTAATTCATTCCTTTACAACTTAATACCTATCTTTTAAAAACTGTAGTAAAAACCACGTAACATAAAATTTATCATCTTATCTATTTTTAAGTGTACAGTTCAATAGTTAATTACCTTTTAAACAGATTTAAACAGTAAGAATAAAATCATTTATATTTACTTACATAATTACCACTTTTGGTGTTCCTCATGGATCCAGATTTCTACCTAGAACCATTTTCTTCCTGCCAGAAAACTTTCTTGTAGTGCTGGTCTGCTCATGATAAGAGAACGCAGCTTTCATCTGCCTGAAGAGTTTTTCTTTCACCTTCATTTTCAAAAGATATTTTGGTGGGTCTGTTACTACTAATTAATTTTTCTTCTAAGATGGGATCTATTTTCCTGTTTCTTTGCCTGGTAATTGACTGCTATATGGCAACATTGTGAATTTTGTATGATTTGGGAAACTGAAGTTTTTGTGTTCCTTTAAGTATTGTGGGGATATGTTCTGGGTATGCAGTGAAATAAATCTGTAAACAATCTGATTTTTCGGCTGGCTTTAAACATTTGTTAGACAGAATGATTTTTAGGGTAATCCACACAGGTCGGTGTCTTAGGGCAGAAAGAAGGGCTGAGAAGGATACAGATTGGATCTGGAGGGCCAAATACAAGTTATCTGATATATGAGTAAATCCTTATTTTCTTTTTTTTTTTTTAAACCTTTTGTTTTAATAAATAAAACATATTCATGGCTTAGATTTTAAATCACATTTACAGATGAGGAACACTTCTAGGCCCGAACAGGTTAACAGGGAAGCTACTACTGCTAGAAGGAATGCGTGCCCCCCCCACCCCCCAGCGCCATGCATTTTAAGCCTAAAAGCAGAGACTTAATATCAGAGAACACCATACACGTCACCCTCTAGAGTGGAGAACTGAAACCAGAGGAAGAGCAAAGACTTGGTGAAGCTCCCGTAACCACCATCTGATACCCTCACCTCCATGCTACAGAAGCGAATGAAAGCTGTGCTACTTTTAGAGACGCTAGAAGGTTTCCTGATTACATTAAGCAGAACTTGCTCTCATTGTTAACAATTAGGCCACAGGCATTAGCTACAGAAGGGTATCCACTGATAAATACAGAATATTAGGAGAGCGAAGAGGAAGCCACACAGGTATCTTGTTTCTTCAAATATCAGAAACTTCCACATCACAGCCGGAGAGCAATGGATCAACTCCACCTCTCCCGAAGGCTTAGTCCAAAAACTTCCTGTTGGCATTTGCACCAAATAAGGCTCCCCGTACTTCTGGCATCATCTGCTGGGCTATGAGATCCAGCCGTAAAAAAATTTATTTTACGATCTCCATTATAGATCTCAACTCCACCAGCTATTTCCTCAGGCAGGTAGGCCTCTTGATCAATTTGGACATCAACATCTTTTTTGGTGGCGATTTTGTATATAGGAATTGCTTTTTGCACTGCGGCCTTTACCAGAGGGAAATCCTGTTTCCTGCAACGAACAATCATTCGGGGCTCCAGCAACTGATACAAACCCTGGAGCACCAGACCATCCAGCAGCACCTGGTACCTGGTTGTATCTTTTACCACTTTGCTGAGTCTCTGTTTGGCTTCATTTAGTAGGTCTGTAATAAGGTCATCTCTCGCTCTGAGGACTTTGAGCCTTGCTTGATTCATCAAATTAGACATCTGAATTTTCTTCTGCTGCTCAATCTGCTTTTCTTTCTTCTCATACTATTCCATAATCTTCAGTCTTTGGGTTTGCACGAGACGACCTTTCTCAATGTTGAACTCTTCCTCTGCCTTTGCATCTATTTCTTCTGCTTTCTCATTGGCTTCTTGTTCAATAAAAGCCATCATATGCCTTATCTGCTTCTGCACGTCAGCATCGCTGAGAGCCATGGCGAAAGTGGCGCTAGGCCGGAGGGACACTGGCTGGAGAAGTGGTTAGAAGGAGACGGTGGAAGAAAGAGGAAAGGAGAATCCAGCGCAGGTTTCGGCTTCCTTTTCAGTGAATCCTTATTTTCATATCTGATATTTAAATAGACTATAATTTCCTTGAGATCAAAGACAACCTGTCTTTTCCCCTTTATATTTCAGAGATTAACAGTGTCTCACAGATAGCAGGCATTTGTTAAATACTTAGTTTCTAAATATTTTTTAAAACATAACCTTAATCTTACTTCTAAAAAAAACATGAGTTCTTTTCGTAGTGATGCCATTTTTTAAAAAGAACTTAAAACAGTATATATGTAGTAAGTCTATTTCATCAACTTACATTTTCCTCATCCATTCTATTTTTCTAATTTTTCTTTTCTTTTCCATATCTTGCCTTCTCTTCAGTTTAGAGAAATGGAACTCGCTTTCATTTCTGTCTCCCACCTCTACATTTTCAGGAGACACCCAAAACTATTGAGAAATGGAAAACGAATATACCGAGTGTTGAAATGCTGACTATGAGGGAATTTGACTACAGTCAAGAAGTTCTGTGTGTTCAGTGGGAATATGGCAAGACAGAAACAGGAGAGAATACACCTCCTCTATGGTTATTTCTTACTACGTCATGGGTGAACAGCACATTGAGTTTTAAGGAGCACATGTCACAGAAAGACTAACAAAGTGCTAGCATTCTGAGGTACTTAATAACTATTTGTTGAATGGGTAAATGAACAGACATGCTCCAGTAGAGTTTTGTTTTTCCTAAGAACAAACTCTCTATTCATAAGAACCAACTCACCTACTCTCAGCGCTGCTGACTTTGAAGACTCTGATTCTCAAGGAGGACAGCCACCCTCCAATAACAGGGAAGCCTCATTATCATGTCCCAAGAGCTTGTAGTTTCCCTGTGTGACATGCTATCCTAACTGGTTGCCTCTTTTCCTACTTCCAGTTCATTCCTTCTCCTTCACTACACATTAAATAACAAGAAGGAGAATTTTCTATCCCCCACAGCACTATGTATTTGTCTCTATTAAAGCACATATTTACTGCACTGTACTGAAAAACTCTTTTGCTTAAGTCTCTCCCAAATTAAAAGGCAAACTACTGGAGAGAAGGGACTATTTTATCTACCATTGTATCTTAGCATCTAGTACAATGTTTGACATATGGTTGGTATGCAATAAAATCTGTTGAATAAATGCATGATTCACCTCTTGATCATTTTCATTTTCCATACTTAATATATTTACTATGCTACATTCTATAATCTGCATATGACAGACTGAAAATTTGAATGAAGATATGAGGCCACATAAACAGACATTTAGAGCTGTAGAACCTGACCAGGTTAACCTATAAAATGTCAGCTTACAAACATCCTTAGGTAGAAATTATCTCCATAAAAAGAAGTATCTATGGAAAAGTCCCTAAATCACATATAGATATTAGGATCTATGTATATTTAAAACATTCTATTCAATTAATATGAAGACATGTTAAAGTTTCAAACACCATGACAATCCAAATGATCTTCCTCCAGTATCTGTTGTTACAAGCTCTGTAAGAGACAATGTCATCTTTTTCTCAAAACTTCCAACCTCTAGGGTTGCCTGGGTGGCCCACTCAGTTAAGTGATTGACTCCCGATTTCGGCTCAGGTCATGATCTCACGATTCATGGGATGGGACCATATTGGGCTCTGTGCTGACAGTGTGGAGCCTGGTTAGGATCTTCTCTTTCCCTCTCTCTCTGCCCCTCTCCTGCTCATGCTCGCTTGCTCTTTCTCTCTCTCCCTCTCTCAAAATAAATAAACACTAAAAAGAATTCCCACCACTAGTCCAAGCATTAATAGAGTCAAAAACATTTTCAAATCTGCTTTGTTATAAAGATACTAAACTGCAGAGTACCAAACAGTATCTAAAGATGGCCTAGATCAAAGCTGATTACTAAAAGTCTGAGTAAATGTAAGAGGTAAAAAAAAAAAGATATTGTTGATCTTGAAGTAGTATTAGTAACCTCTGAGAAGAGTTAAAATAATCAGTTTTATCAGTTAAATTATCAAGGTTTATTATCTTAAAATTAATTTTCAAAAAGGCAAAAGACTTACTAAATGTATAAGATATAAAATTATTAATATTTTTATATTCTTACTGTATCAGAGACAGGCCTCCAGCCATTGTTCTCTACACGACGATACCAGCCACTATGATCCTCTTCCTCAAGATTATCACTTTTAATATGAGATGAATATTTTGCTGGAAGTTTTGTATAATCTCTGGGGCTATTAGCACACAGATCTTCAATATGTCTATGAGTGAAAATTTTATAGTATATATCAGGTGGAAATTTAACCTGTATTTGGAAAAGTTCAAAGGACCACTGTAATCTAATTACAAAAATGATTTTTAAAATCTACATCTTTTAAATTTCATATAAATGTGCTTTAAGATTACCAAATAAGGATTCACCCATACTTACACCACCTAATCTGAATCGTACGTGAATGCCCGCGGCAGCATCTAGCAGCTCTGCCTGTAAAAAAATATATTCCTTTTCAACATTCTGTATTATCAATTATTCACTACTTCTCACTCTATCATGTTAAAACAGTGCTGAATACTGATTATTTACGAAATAAAGTAAGCCTCAAATAATTATCTTAAAATATATTTTATCCCCTGCTCACACTCTCTCTCCCTCAAAAATAAACATTTAAAAATTTAAAAAACATATATATATTTTAAGATTTAATTTCTAATGGGCATCCAATAAGTAAAACAGTTTTTGTAACTGGAAAAATGATACCAAACTATGTTTCCTTTCTGTGTACCATATAAGTATAAAAGCCAAGTGATTTGTTATTCTAAAAACAGAAATTGTAATTAAGTCCTCAAGTGTATGATTTATATGTTAAACATCATCTTACAGGTAAATTCAGAGGAAAAAAATATGATTGACTAATCTGAGTTTAACAGAAGATGACCTTTCCTAAGTAGCTTTTCTTAAATCAAATATCCATGTTTAAGTTTTATAAGCATTGTATATAAGTGGTCTTCTAAATTGTAATGCCCTGCACCACATGGAAAACAGAGAAAGCAATTTTGGGTCCTCTAACAGAAAAGAGTTCAAGTTTACCTTCTGATAATACTGTTAGATGAGAAAATACTTCTTATCCTAAATTGTTCAATCTATAAAGCCTGAAAGACTACAGTAAGTTTTGCATAATTTTCTCCTGACTAAAAAGTGTACACACACACACATACATACATATGTAGGGTCACAGTTCAATCATGAAAAATATGTTTTATAACAGGATCTTTAGCTTACATTTATAAAATTTATGCAGGTGACCCTTGAACAACATGACTTTGAACTGGACGGGTCCACTTATATGTGGATTTTTTATAGTGTACCACCGTAAATGTATTTTCTTCTCCTTATGATCTGCTTAATAACGAGTTATTTTCTCTAGCTTACCTTATTTTAGGAATACAGTGTTTAATACATACACATACAAAATGTATATTAATTGACTATATTATTAGTAAGGCTTCAGGTCAACAGTAGGCTATTTGTAGTTGAGTTTTTAGAGAGTCACAGTGACACATGGATTCTTGAATGCATGTGGGAGGTCACTGCCCCATCCCAATGTTATTCAAGGGTGAACTGTATATACTTTTTCAACAAAATTCATTATATATACGCTTTTATTTCCACTAAAGTAGGCAAATCTTAAGGGTACAGCTTCATGGATATTTTCCTTTCTATTTTAGTCAGTTACGGTGAAGTGCTAATCATGTCAATCCAATAACAAATTTAGCTGGGTCAAGCCTGGATTGCGGTTTTAGTCATCTGTGTCTAGTTTGTGCACTTCTAGTTTTTCCCTATTTCTCAGATGTGGTTCTGGCAAGTCTCTATCTCTTCAACTATAAAAGCCTATGGGAAATTCAAGTGTACTTTGAGAAGATTTGAGGTTAATTCTTTATCATTCTACCATCTACAAACTCAAATGTGGATGAGAGTCATTTGTGTATTTGAGGCAGTTCCCTTTCCTTGAGCATGACTGTCTCCTAAGCCTATGGGGAATTTCATTTAGTGGAACAGTGTTATTTAATATAGACTTAGATTCGTTGTAAATACTCAGTGCAAATTCTAGGGAACCAAAAATTAGTTTAAAAAAAAAAAAAGGTATAATTGATATGCTGTGAAGAAAGAAAATGCAATCTTATAAAATGCTCACTTAAAACCAGAGAAGATAGAAAAATGGTGCAATAGAAAAAAAAAACAAAAAGAACAATGATAAGAAATAGAAAACATGAAATATGTTAGATATCAATCAATCACCATACTAAATATCAATGGTCTAAATACACAAGTTTATTGGCAGAGACTAACAGAATGGAAAAAAAAAAAAAAGACCCAACTATATGTTGTCTATAAGAAAACCATTTAAAATACAAAGACACAGATAGGGTAAAAGCAAAGTAATGGAGATAGATATACATATTAACTGACATTGATCAAATGAAAACTGAGAAGCTATATTAATTTCAGAGAAAGCTGAATTCAGACCAAGGAAAATCATTAGGAATAAAGAAGAGGATTACATGGTGATAAAGTGGCCAATTTTCTAAGAAGACATAAAAATCCATCAAGTATATAAATACCTAACAACATAGTATCAAAATATGTAAGGCAAAAACTGACAGAACTGCAAGGAGAACTAGAGAAATCCACTATTGTAGTTGGAGAATTTGACACCTCTGTATCGTTAACTGGCGTATTCAGCAGACAGAAAATCATTAAATCTATTATGAAAATAAAGAACACCTTCAATTAACTGGATCTAGATTTCTACAACACTTCATTCAACAACAGCAAATATACATTCTTCTCAAGGTTACATAGAACTTTTATTTACCAACATAGAACATGTTACGGACCATAAAGCACACCTTAACAACTGTAAAATAAGAGAAATCATACAAAGCATGCTTTCAGACCCCAATGTAATTAAACTAGAAATCAGCAACAGAAGGGTAGTCCGAAAACACCTGGAACTTGGAAACTGAACAACACACTTCTAAATAACAAGTGGATCAAACAGAAAGTCTCAAGAGAATTTTAAAATCTTCTGAACTGAATGAAAATGAATATACAGCTTATCAAATTTTGTGAACTGCACTGAAAACAGTGCCTAGGGGAAATTTTATAGCACTAACTACATATATTTGAAAACAACAAAGACTTGAAATTAATAATCTAGGCTTCCATCTTAAGAAATTAAGAAAACAAATTAAATCAAAAGCAAGCAGAAGTCAAGAATAAAAAAACAGAAATCAATGAAATTGAAACAGGAAATCAACAGAGAAAAATCAAAGAAATTAAAAGCTAGTTCTTTGAAAAGATCAATAAAACCAATAAGCTTCTGGCCAAGAAAACTAAGAATGAAAAAATAGAAGACACAAATGACTAATATCAGAAAAGAGGGGCCATCACTACTGATTCCACGGACACTAACAGCATAATTAACAAATATGAAAAATTCTATTCCCACAGATTTGATAAATGGCTGAAAAGACACAACCTGACAAAACTCACACAAGGAGAAATAGAAAATCTGAATAGACTAACACCTATTAAAGATACTGAATGAATTATTAACCTTTCAAAAAAAGAAAGCACCAAGCCTCAATGGGTTCAATGGTGAACTCTACCAAACATTTAAGGAAAAAAATATATCAATTCTCTGCAATCTCTTCCAGAAAACAGAAGCAAAGGGAACACTTCCTAACACATTCTATGAGACCACTATTATTCTAAATACAAAAACACAGGGGCGCCTGGTTTTGGGTGGCTCAGTTGGTGAAGTGTCCAACTATGGATTTTGGCTCAGGTCATGATCTCATGGTTCATGTGATTCAGCCCCATGGGCTCTATGTTGAAAGAACAGAGCCTGCTTAGGATTCTCTCTCCTTCTCTGCCCCTCCCTAGCTTGCAATCTCTCTCTCTCAATAATAACTAAACTTTAAAAAAATAAATAAAATGTACATGGAAATACAAAACTTCCAACAATAGCCTGGAAGTGTCTTCTTGAAGAACTACAAAATAGGAGCACTTCTCTACCATGTAATACACTTGTTATAAACCTAAAGTAATTATAACAAGGGTAGAAAAATAGACCATGGAAGAGAACAGAAAATTCACAGACTCCTACATTAATGGTTACTTGATTTATGATAAAAGTAGCATGGCAGAGCAGTGGAGGCTGAGAAGGAAGGACTATCTTTTTTTTTTTTTTTAATTTTTTTTTTTAAGGTTTTTATTTATTTCTAGGAGAGAGAGAGAGAGACAGCGCGAGCAGGAGGGGGGTCAGAGAGAGAGGGAGTCACAGACTGAAACAGGCTCCAGGCTCTGAGCTGGCAGTCAGCAGAGAGCCCAATGCTGGGCTCGAACCCATGAACCGCGAGATCATGACCTAAGCGAAAGTCGGACGCTTAACCGACTAAGCCACCCAGGCGCCCCGGAAGGACTATCTTTCTAATAAATAGTGTTTAATCATTTCGTTTTCTATATGGAAGAATATGAAAGGGACCTCTACTCCACACCATACACAAAAAAATCAATCGCAAGTAGATTGCATATCTAAATATGAAAGGAAAATCAATAAAGTTTATATAATATAGGAGAATACTTTCATGATTTCAGGACTGGTGAAGCTTATAAAAAGGACCAACCATACATACAAGCACTGATCATCTTAAGTACATTAAAATCAAGAACTCTGGGGGTGCCTGGGTGGATCAGTTGGTTAAGCGTTAGACTTCGGCTCAGGTCATGATCTCGTGGTTTGTGAGTTCGAGTCCCACATTGGGCTCTGTGCTGACAACTCAGAGCCTAGAGCCTGCTTCAGATTCTGTGTCTCCCTCTCTGTCTCCCACCCCTTATTCACGCCCTGCCTCTCTCTCTCTCAAAAATAAACAAACATTTAAAAAATTTTAATTAAGAACTCTGTTCACCAAAAAACATTTTTGTTTCAAAATATTAACCTAGGGATTGGGGCCACAGGGTGGAAATAAAGATGAAGCAAGGCTGGCCGTGAATTGCTAATTGTAGAAACTAGGTGATAGGTACATGTGGTCTATTATTTTATTCTTTCTATCTTAGTATATGTTTGACATTTTTCATGATAAAAAACATACAGTGAAGACCATCCTAAGACTGACAAGTCAAATCATAGAATGGAAAATGAAAACGACAAAGGGCTTTTATGAAGACCCTATAAAAAACTGCTTTAAACCAGTAAGAATAAGACAATATACACATAAAACACACCAAAAACTATGTCAGGAGCTCAGCTGATCTGGGAGAAGAGTAGCTAAGATGTTGGGTGTCAGAGTAGCCGTTTAAGGAAACAAGCACAAAGGGAAAGAGAGCTTTTAACCACTTACTAGGTGGGAATAAGCAAGAGTTAGAGCATCTACAGCTGGAGGAGGCGCCAATCCACCTGTTCCCTCCCACCCCCACCCCCACCCCCACGGAACAGTGCAGTGACAGAGAGTCAGGTGGATCAGCAGAGTTTCGAACAAAAGGCTCCTGCATTTTTAGGGACCGTGAGGTGTGTATGTGTGGGTGGGAGGGAGGAGATTGAGAGAGGAGAGTCCAGGTGGACTGAGTCAGAGTGTCTTCAAGGTTCCCCGTAAAGAGGTCTCAGCAGATGTGCTTGAAGACCTCGGCCCAAAGCCTCAGACAGAGAACTAAAAATGAAGGTGCTGGGACTAGACATTTATTTATTTATTTATTTATTTATTTATTTTTACAAATAGTTTATTGTCAAATTAGTTTCTACATAACACTCAGTGCTCATCCCCAAAGTGCCCTCCTTCATGCCCATCCCCCCCTCCCCCTGGGACTAGACATTTAAATACGTCTGGGGGGGATCTGTCCAGGGGTCCTGAGCCCCAGCCTGAGTTCCCTTCAGAGGCTGCAGGACAAGTCTGACTGTGAGGAGGGCACAGCTTTCCCGTGTGCGGCCTGTTGGGTAAGGTCCCTTTGACTATTCTGGTCATGCCTGGAAGAGCAGACAGGATTTTAACCAGGAGCTGAACTCACAGAGATGCTCACCTCCACTAGTTATCAGGGAAAGGCAAATTAAAACGCTGATAACAGTTAGCATTGGTAGGATGTAAAGCATCAAGAACTCCAAGAGACTGATGATGGATAATACAAATTGTACAGTAACTTTGGAATATAGTTTGGCATATCCTGTTACCCAGAAATCCCATTTCTAGGTGGAATAGAAACCACAAGAAATTCTTGTTCATATGCACCAGGGCAGATGAATAGGGATGTTCCCCAAAGCAATCTTTATACAGACTCAATCCAGGAAAAAAAAAAATGCCAATGAACTATAGAATGAATAAACAGTAGTGTATATATATATATAAAATGAAACAATTATCATTGTTTTTAATAAAATGAATACAATTCAGCTACACAAACACAATGCTGAATGAACAAAGCTACATACAAAAGCTTTGTATGTAGGATTCTATTTACATACAGCTCAAAAACAGAGAAAAGTAAAGCAAATAAACAAAAAAGCTACAACTGAGAATCGTAGTTGTTCTAGGGAGCAGGGACCTGGCGGAGATGCGCAGAGCCCCGGGAGGCAGGGGTCTCAAGTATGAAACACTGATCTGGGTGATGGTTAGACAGGGGGTTGTTTGTGATGATTCACTGATCTATACACATTTATGTTTCATGAACGTTTCTATCATGTGTGTGATGCTTCGATAAAACAGTGTTTTAAAAGAAATAAATACAAGCACATTTATAAAGCAGCCACACATCTTGAAGGGAGAACACAGATGCTGTATGAATAAATAGCATCCTTACCTCCTTAGGACTGATGTATCTCATTATCTGACGTGGCTCTCCTTGTCTTCTTAGATCAATCAGTCTTTTAAAGTGCTGGAAGATAGCGACATTCTAAAGGTTCAAATACATAAGATTTTATGGTCAAAACTGGATTCTCTGCCTCTGATGAGCTTTTTCCTAATTAGGGCAAAATGAGTAAAGATCATATAATAGATTTTATGTGTGTAAACTAGATTTTAGAAATATTATCACTCAGGATTTGCTCTGACAAGCCAGGCAATACTAATTTTATTCTCACAAAGAGATTTCCTTCACTTTGGAAGTGCATCACAGGCAGCTGTAAGGAAGATACCCAGGATGTTGGTCGAACCGCTTGTGTGTGCTCCAGAGTCATTCAGGAGGAAGATAAAATACAGCCTACTGGTTAGGAACACGGATCCGGGCATCATATAATCTGGATTCAACGGTTAGTACCCACTCACTGTGTGACCCTGGACAAGCTGCTTCAATTCTCTCCTCAGTCTCTCATCTAAAACATGGGAATGATGGTGGGTATCTCATACAGCTATGGCACGGAGTTCATGAGTGAATATCCGTAAAGCACTCAGAACAACTTCTGGCACAAGGCAGCACTAAATAATTATCATCTTATTATTACCATTACAGAAACCTCATTCCTGTAGTAATTCTGTTGATTTACAAACCCTATCTACTACTCATGTTAGGGCATATTTGGTCAAACATCTCCAAACAATTCTTTTTTTTTTTTTTTTAATTTCTTTTATGTCTTTTTTTATTTTGAGAGACAGAGATAGAGACCAAGCAAGGGGGGGGGGGCAGACAGAGAGGGAGACAGAATCTGAAGCAGGCTCCAAACTCTGAGCTGTCAGCACAGAGCCCAACATGGTGCTCGAACCCACGGACCGTGAGATTGTGATCTGAGCCTAAGTCGGACACTTAACCACGTGAGCCACCCAGGCGCCCCTGTTCTTCTTTTTTTAATGTTTGTTTATTTTTGAGAGAGACAGACAGCATGAGTGGTGGAGGGCAAGTTTCAACAAATTTCAAGTTATTAAAATCATATAAATAACTGGCCTCAGAATTAAACCAGAAATCAGTAACAGGAAGGTAACTAGAAAACTACTAAATATTTGATACTTAAGCAATATAATTCAAAAAAACCCCATAGGTCAAAAAAAAAAATCACAATGGAAATTGTAAAATATTTTAAAGTGAAAGGTAATAGGGGTGCTTGGGTAACTTAGCTGGTTAAATGTTTGACCCTTGATTCTGGCTCAGGCTCAGGTCATGATCTCACAGTGTGTTGAGATCGAGTTCCATGTCACGCTCTGCATTGGCAGCATAGAGCCTGCCTGGGATTCTCTTGGGAGGGTAATAAAATGCAATATTGTACTGCAGTGCAATAAAGAAAAAGAAGTAACAGGTATAAAGTTTACAAAGAAAAGATGGAAGTCATTCAGAGATGACATGATTAGGTGGTAAAATCCAAAGGAGTCAACAAAAAAGCAATTAGAAATAATAAGTGTACACTAGGTCAGCAGATAAAAATAAGTTATATTTCTATAAACTAGAAGTGAATTAGGAAATAAAATTTAAAATAATACCACTCACAGTAGCATCAAACAATGTCAAATACCCTTAAGTTAAATGAAAGATACATAAGACTTCTACACTGCAAACTACAAACCATTGTGAAGGAAAATTTTAAAAGATCTAATACCTGAAGATATGTACCAGGTTCATGAAAACTTAGAGTAGTAAAATGTCAGTTCTCCCCCAAATTGATCTATTGATCCCCCCAATTATAATCCCCACAAATATTTTTGCAAAACTTAATAAATTGATTCTATTATTTATATGGAATTGCAAAAACCCTAGAATAGATGTGATAATCAGGAAGAGCATCATAGTCAGAGGATTCTGATACCCACACTTATAATAAAGCTAGTTACAAGACAGTGGGGTATTGGCCCAAATAAAGACAAACAAACTGAAGCAACTGAACAGAGACCACAGAAACACTTCACATATATGATGACATGATTTAGACAAAGGCACCACTGCCATATACTATGGAAAGGATGGTATTTTCAATAATCGGTACTTAATCATTTGGTTATAAAGACAAAAATGAACTTTGTCAAAAAAAAAAAAAAAAAAGAACTTTGCCTACACCTCTCATCACACATTAATTTGAGATGATGCTAGATCTCAATCTTCTACAACAAAAGCAACTAAGCATCTAGAGAAAGCATAAGGAAAGTATCTCTTGGTTTTGGGTTAGGTAAACATTTCCCTTCAGATTTATTTCAATATAACTGACACATAATGTGCTGCCTGAGCTGGATGTCTGCCTTGGGATCTTTTCCCACTGGGAAAGTTTTGATATTGTCACCTCTTTAGGTAAACATTTCTTCTTTATTTTTTAATGTTTATTTATTTTTGAGAGAGAGAGGGAGACAGAGAGCAGGGAGAGCAGGGAGAGAGAGAAAGCAAGTGCAGGAGGGGCAAAGAGAGAGGAGAACAGGGGATCAGACAGAGGATCAGAAGCGGGCTCTGCACTGACAGCAGAGAGCCCGATGTTGGGCTCAAACCCATGAACCCTGAGACTATGACCCAAGCCGAAGTCCGACATTCAACTGACTGAGCCACCCAGGAGCCCCTAGGCAAACATTTCTTAAACAGGACACAGAAAGCAATAACCATAAAGAACAAGTGATTAAATTGGGCTTAATTAAAATGAAAGACTTCTCATTATCAAAACAACATCTTTAAGAATGCAATGTTGGAGAAAATATCTGCCAGGCACGTATTCAATAAAGGACTTGAGCCTAGGATACATGAGGAACTCCTCCACGTGAAAATGGACAGTGTACTAGTAGATGTAGCAGGATTTGGGGGTCTGGAGACTGGGGAGATAGGTAAAGAAATAAAAGGTAGGAGGCTGGGATATTTATATCCTCATCATGCATAATAAGGAGTCACATAATCCTACGTTAACATGATGGAACAGGAAACAAAGGTTTAAATATTCTTTTTTTAAATGTTTATTTATTTTTGAGAAAGAGGGGGACACAGGATCTGAAGCAGGCTGTAGGGTCTGAGTGGTCAGCGCAGAACCTGATGCAGGGCTTGAACTCACAAACCCTGAGATCATGACCTGAGCCAAAGTTGGTCGCTTAATCAACTGGGCCAACCAGGTGCCCCAGGTTTAAATATTTTTTAAAAAAATGTTTTAATGTTATTTTATTTATTTTTGAGAGCGAGACATTAACACAGAATCCGAAGCAGGCTCCAGGCTCTGAGCTGTCAGCACAGAGCCCCACAATAGGGCTTGAACTGGTGAACCGCTAGATCATGACCAGAGCCGACGTCGACTGCTTCACCGACTGAACCACCCAGGAACCCCTAAATATTCTTTAAAGAAATAAGATAACAGGGGCACCTGGGTGGCCCAGTTGGCTAAGCACCCGACTCTTGGTTTTGACTCAGGTCATACTCTCACAGTTTGTGAGTTAGAGCCCCACATCCCACTCTGTGCTCCCAGCTTGGAGCCTGCTTGGGATTCTCTCTCTCTGCCCCTCCCTCTCTCTCTGCCCCTTACCTGCTCTCTCCCTCAAAATAAATAAATAAACTTAAAAAAATTAAGGTAACAAATAGAGGAACTAAAAAATAATCACATATGGTACTGGCAGGGGAGATAAACAGGGCTGTGTAAGGGGTAAGTAAGATAAGCTCTCAGTTATCTTTGCGGAAAATCAACAGGTCACTTCTAAAGTTGGTAAATAAAAAATAATTCTATAAGCATGTTATGTAATAACAGAAATAACTACTAGGAGATCTAAAACAAAAAACTGTTCAAAGTGGTTCTCTTTAGAGTATGACGGTAGAGAAGAGTAGGAGGGGGTAAAAGATGTGCTTTTATTTATAAGCTCTTCTAGATTATTTTACTGAAAGAAGTCCATATATTATGACTTAAAATATTCACATGAAAGAAAATACCTTAATTTTCAGTAGTTTGACTATGCAAATTATTCATTTATAGGACCAAGTAATGTGTTAAAATTAAGCATCCTTATTTAGAAGTCATCCTCTGAGGCACTTGAAGCAGAATATATCTAGATTTAAGATCAAATGTTTTATCTTTCAGTCTTAGGGCTACATTATCCTTATATTTGAACCATGGCTCTCATGGTTGCTTTTTTTCAGTTTCTAAACAGTTTTTAAATCCAACTGTTCTGTCCACGTCTTCAATTGAATGGGGCACCATTTTCTCTCCAAATAGAACCCACTTATATCCATTTAACATGCTAGCCTTATTTAAATTGATCATCTTTTTAAGAAAAATATTTTAGGGGCACCTGGGTGGCTCAGTTGGTTAAGTGTCTGACCTCAGCTCAGGTCATGATCTCACAGTTCCTGGGTTCAAGCCCTGCATTGGGCTGTGTGCTGACAGTTCAGAGCCTGGAGTCTGCTTCAGATTCTGTGTCTCCTTCTCTCTCTGCCTCTCCCCTACTAATGCTCTCTGTCTCTCAAAAATGAATAAATATTAAAACAAATTTAAAAAATTTTTAATGATTTCATTTATTTTGAGAGGGAGAGAGAGAGAACAAGGGAGGAGCAGAGAGAGAGGGAGAGAGAATCCCAAGCAGGCTCTGAGCAGCAGTCCAGAGCCTGACATAGGGCTTGAACTCAAAAACCATGAGATCATGACCTGAGTCAAAGTCAATGCTTACCTGACCTAGCCACCGAGGCACCCCAATCACCATTTTTATTTCCTTCATTTTCCCCCTCCTTCTCTCCTTATAAACATCATTGATTTTCCTTAAATATTGGTCAATCCTTGGTTATACTACTAATACTTAAGGTCTGTGTCAACTGCTCATGGGGACTAGTCTGAGTATCCTCGGCTTTTCTATAAGTATCCTATTTTCCCATTTCCTCAACACAAACGGGAAGATCGCCTGGGAGCTTTGTAACATGGGTGGGATTAGCTAACCAACAGACTTTCTCGGAGGGGTACGGGTAGGTGGCCAGCAACCAAGCAGCGTGTCTCCCTACTATTAAAATCAAGAGGCTTTTACTGGAGAGTGCCAAGTCCACAACAAAATTAGCTTTTCCAAACAGTTTACTTAATTTTTTTAAAAAGAGATAGGCTTCGGGGCGCCTGGGTGGCTTAGTCGGTTAAGCGTCCAACTTTCACTTGGGTCATGATCTCGCGGTTCGTGGGTTCGAGCCCCGCGTCGGGCTCTGTGCTGACTGCCAGCTCAGAGCCTGGACCCTGCTTCAAACTCTGTGTCTCCCTCTCTCTCTGACCCTCTCCTGCTCGTGCTGTCTCTCTCCTAGAAATAAATAAAACATTAAAAAAAAAAAAAAGAGATAGGCTTCAGCGTTCTTTCTCCTAATAGTAAATATCCACCTGCCAGTAGATTTTTTGACTCCTGGCAAATATCCATGTACCTGCAGCTCTGGGGTCTGAAGTGACAGTGGAGCAAATGGTACAAATGGCCCTGTGTCTACAGTAATTCTCCTTCCAGCTCTTTCCAACCGCTAACTCTAAGTGATATCCTTTCTAGGGCTCCGGTGACAAACCGGCTCTGTCACTGCAGCCCCAGTGAAGTGTGTCCAGGCAAGGCTTCTACATGGATCTGTCCCACAGGAGGCTACCATCTAGTTTTGGTTGTCCAAAACTGAGATCAGATTCACCTGCTCATGAACTCCCTTCTCTCCGGTTTGGGTTAGCTTTCTGTACACTGTCATTTCACAGGGGTTCTGTAGGGACAAAGAGTGAAAACGTGTGCTCACTTAAATACGGAGTTACAGTACACACACATGTGCACACACACCTGTCTGTTCATATACAGGGCTTCTCTGCTGAAAGGCCTCAAGGGCAAGGGTGTACTGTAAAATGCTTGCACAGTGCTTGGAATATAAGGTAAGTGGCTGCTTGGATTTGGATGTGAGATAAAGGAAGTTACAAATGGTACGCTGGTAGAAACCACCAAAGGAATAGATTTTTAAAGAAAAATTTTGGGGCACTTGAGTGGCTTAGTCGGTTAAGTATCTGACTTTGGTTCAGGTCATGATTTCATGGTTTGTGAGTTCGAGCCCCGCGTTAGGCTCTGTGCTGAGAGCTTAGAGCCTGGAGCCTCCTTCAGATTCCGTGTCTCCCTCTCACTCCCTCTCACTTTGCCTCCCTCTCACTCCCTCTCACTTTGCCCTTTCCCCACTCACACTTTCTCTCTCTCACAAATAAAGAAGCATTAAAAAAGTGTTTAAAGAGAGAGCCAGCAGAGGTGTCACTACCACCATATTCTCCATCATGCCGAAACACGAGTTCTCTGTGGACATGACCTGTGAAGGCTGCTCCAATGCGGTCAGTCAGGTGCTCCACAAGCAAGGAGGAGTTGAGTTTGACATTGACCTACCCAACAAGAAGGTTTGCATCAACTCTGAACACAGCATGGACCTTCTGCTGGAGACCTTAGGAAAAACACGAAGAGCCATTTCCTACCTTGGACCCAAGTAGCGAGGGCCTGGACCCCTGGGCCCAAGATGGATTAAAGAGGGCCTCTGATCCTCTCCTGCCTTGCAGACAGACCAGGAGCCTGGCAGTCCTACTCAGCAATGGCAGTTTCCACAGAGACCCTCACCTGCCCTGCTCCTCCCTAGCTTCCCTGTAATAAAATCAAGCCATGTTAGTTGAAAAAAAAACCAAATTTTTTAAAGAAAACTATTATTTTAGTAGAGATCAATAGTTATGGATTTTACGGCTTGAAAGAGGCAAAAAGAACACACGATGGAAGCTATGTTGTAAGACTTGATTAACAAATCGTGTGTGTCAGAAACAGAGCCATAGCACTTCACACAAAATTATCAGGCACAGATGGCATTGCTACAAATAAAGAAGAAAGAGTAAAGTCACTTTAGTTACTGGTTCTCACCCAACCAGGTTAAGTCAATTTGGAATATTCCTTTCACCAACGAGAGCAGCTCTACCCAGATGAAGGCATAAATAAGTACATTAATTCAGATATAGTTTATTATTAAACTTTAAATCTTAAAGAGTCAAGTACTCCATAAATATTTAATGAGTGAATGAATATATCCCTAACACTTGCTCAGAAACCTGATTCCTGAGTCAAGAAATAGTTTTAAAGGTAAAAACCAAAGGGTCCTACTAGTGATACTTTCAGTGATCATAGTTATTTTCAAAATGCCTGGCTCTGATCAGGAGCTCAGTAAGGATTCCTGAGGATGAGATGATTAATTAATGTTAACTTTGTGAACTTCTAAAAAATAGGTGCTTTTAAAGCAAAGGGTGGTACACCAATCTGCAAATATACTAAAAACGATTGAACTTTATATTTTCAACAGGTGAACCTTACGACATATAAATTATATTACAGTAAGATTACAAAACAATGAAATAAACTCACAAGATAGCGTTTCCAGGCCTTCTGAATGACTGTGGCAGCTTTATCCCTCTTTGAAAATTCTGATTCCTGCATCCAAGGCATTTGGAAGTCCTAAAATTAGCAAAGAGGTTATATCTAAAATTTCTTTATAAACTCCACTGTGAAACTCACTAGAACTCAAGAAACCTTAAATAGAAAGTTGAATAAAGGAAATAATAAAGATGAGATTTGGTATCAAAATAATAATAAAAAAAATTGGTACCTATTGATTGCCTTATATTCCAATGTGTTTCTTTTCTTTTTTTTATTTTATTTAATTACCTTTTAAAAATATTCATTTATTTTTGAGACAGAGAGAGAGAGCGAGCGAGCAGGGGAAGGGCAGAGAGTGAGAGAGGGATACAGAGAATTTCAAGCAGGCTCCATACTGTCAATGCAGAGCCTCATGCGGGGCTCAAACTCACAAACTGCGAGAACATGACCTAAGGCGAAGTCGGAGGCTTAACCAACAGAGCCATCCAGTTCTAATTTAAACAACAACCTTGCATAGCAGATTTTGCCAGTATGCTTGTGCTCGAAGTAGACTGCACTTCAAGGCCTATGGCCAAATAGTGATTAACGAAGCCAGTATTAAACCCAAGGCAGCTGGTGTTGAAAAATCCATGATCTTTCACAGCCCCCATTCAATGACTTCAAATAAACTGTTCTTATTGAACATATACAGTGACAGAGTTTCATCCACAAATTTACCTAGGTCCCTAACCTAGAATTAGAGATGATTACAGAATTTTTCCTTCTTTGCAAATATGCTGACTCATTGGTCAATCATGCATTAAATTGTCAGAAAAAGAGATGAAGCCTGACTATTAAGACAGAAGAAAATCACCAGTTCTACCCATAATTTTTATTAATACTGTGAAGAGATAAGTAATAGGGAAGTCAGAAAGCCATTACGGTCTGTGAGTCCTTTAGAAAGCTGCAGCAGACAGAGGGGATTCTGGGAAGAAAGTGGAGAAGGAAACACCAGGAAAGTGTCTCCGCCTCTAGACAACTGCACTGGCATAATCTAATGTAACTATTTTCGAACTCTGGTGTCTACTGAAGGCTTCCAACTTGCAGGGGAAGGCTTGGGGGGTGAGCCGCGGTTACCCCCGTCACCTGCTCTTGGCCCAGTAGCAGCTCCCCATTCCCTCCGGCGGCCCCAGCAGCAGGCAGCTGTGTCCATGCTCCAGGATCAGCCTGCACACAGCGTGTGGGCGGCAGGCTGGAGACAAAGGCCTCTGTCCTCCAATCCGGGAGATCCGTGTTGCTGGTTCCGATCACAGAGGCGCAAACAGGCAGCCTTTGGTATCGCACCTCCACCCCCCACCGCTGTTGTAAGCCCTTCCCATCTGGCAACTTCCAGAGAATTTAAGGGTTTTTCCTTCCTTCTGCATTGGTCTCCCTTCTCCTTTTGGGAGCCAGATATTAAAAACTAGGACATTCAAAAACAACAACACATATGGAGAAAATGAGGAGTGGCTGGTCATTCCCAGGGAAAGGTACAGACTCACAGAAGACCTTACGTTCACAATTCAGACTGATCCTTGACCGATCCTTATAGTCTATAACACAAACACACACACACACACACACACACACACACACACACACACACACAACTCTGGGGAAGGTAAAGAATCTGATTTCCAGAGTTCTTGCATTTTTAAATTCAAATGTCCAGTTTGCAATAAAAAATTATAAGGCATACAAATAAACACAAAATTATGTCTCATTCAAAGGAAATCAACAGAAACTGACCCTGAAAAAGAGCTTATGGCAGATCTACTAGACAAAGACCTGGACACAAATGTCTTAAAGATGCTCAAAAAACCTAAAGGAAGATGTAGGGAAATTCAAGAAATGATGCACAAAATGGAAATATCAATAAAGAGACAAAAACTAAAAACACACCAAACAAACTCTGAAGCTGAAAAGTAGAATAACTGAAAGGAACAATTAATGTGGGATTCAAAGGCAGAACTGAGCAGGCAGAAGAAAGTAATCAGCCTTGATTCTTGAAGATAACTTGACGATAAATGATAGAAATTGTCAAGTCTGAGAAACAGAAAGAAAAAAGATTGAAGAAAAGTGAGTAGAGCCTAAGAGACCTCTGGTACACCAGTAAGCAGACTAGCAGGCATGTTGTGGGAGTCCCAGAGGAAAAAGAGAAAGGGGAAGAGAGAATATCTCAAGAAATAATGGCTGAAAAACACCAAATTTGATGAAAAACATAAACATCCCAGCTCAACAAACTACAATTAAGATGGACTAAAAGATATATCTTCACCAAGACACATTATAATTAAACTTTTAAAAACCAAAGATAAACAGCAAGAGAGAAGTGATTCATCAAATACACGGAAATTTTAATACATTAACAGATTTCTCATCAGAAACTTGGAAGTCAGAAGGCAGTGGGCCAATATATTCAAACTTCTCAATGAAAAAAAAAATTACCAGCCAAGAATCTTGTGTCTAGCAAAACTGTCTTTCAAGAGTAAAGAAAAAATTAAGACATTTCAAGATAAACAAAAGCTGTAAAAGTTCACTGCCACTAGATGTGCCCTGCAAGACACGCTCAAGGAAGTCCTGCAGGGAAAAATGAAAGGGCACTTGACAGTAACTCAAAATTGTATGAAGAAATAGTATTTCAATACAGGTAAATATATGGGTAGTTATAAAAGCCACTATTATTGTAACAATGATTTGTAACTAAATTTGTTTTCTTTTTATTTTATAGTTTATCATCAAGTTGGCTGCCATATAACACCCAGTGCTCATCCCAACAAGTGCCCTCCTCCATGCCCATCACCCTGCTTCCCCTCCCTCACCGCCATCAGCCACTAAATTTGTTTTCTATATGATTTAAGAAAACAGTATATTTTTAAAAATTATTAGTCTAAAAAGAGTATTATTGTAACTTTAGTTTTGGTTTGTAATTTCACATAGTGTTTTCTAGTAATTTAAGAGATAAATATATTTAAAATAATTGTTACATCATGTTTTGGAGCATACAATGTATAAAGGTATAATTTTGTGATATCAACAATTGAAAGGAGTTGGGATAGAGGTGTAAAAGAGGAGTTTTTTGTATGTTAATGAAGTTTAACGGGCATAAATTCACAATGGAGTGCTATAACTTTAGGATGTTATCTGTAATCTCCATGGTAACCACAAAGTAAACAACTATAGATAATACACAAAAGTAAACGAGAAATGAATTTAAATGTTTCACTATAGGGGGTGCCTGGGTAGCTCAGTCGGTTGGGCCACTGACTTTGGCTCAGGTCATGATCTCACGGTTCATGGGTTCAAGCCCCGCATCAGGCTCTGTGCTGAGACCTAGCTCAGAGCCTGGAGCCTGTTTCAGATTCTGTCTCTCTTTCTCTGGCCCTCCCCAGCTCATGCTGTCTCTCTCTCAGAAATAAATAAAAAACATTAAAAAAAAAAAAAAGAATAAATGTTTCACTATAAACAAATCATCTGAACACAAAAGAAGACAATAATGCAGGAAATGATAAACAGAAAAGTCATAAATCATATAGAAAACAAACAGCAAAATGACAGAAGTGAGGTCCTCCTTATCAGTAATTACTTTATTTCTTTTTAATGTTTTATTTATTTTTGAAAGAGAAATAGAGACAGTGTGAACAGGGGAGGGTCAGAGAGAGAGGGAGTCACAGAATCCGAAGACAGCCTCCAGGCTCTGAGCTAGCTGTCAGCACAGAGCCCGACATGGGGCTTGAACCCACGAACCGTGAGATCATGACCCGAGCCAAAGTTGGACACTTAACCGACTGAGTCACCCAGGAGCCCCATCAGTAATTACTTTAAATGTAAATGGTTTAAACTCTCTACTCAAAAAACAGATCTGCAGAATGGATAAACACACAAAATCCAACTATATGCTATCTAAAATAAACTCATTTCAGATTCAAAGACACAAATAGATTGAAAGTGAAAAGACTGAAAAAGATATTTGATGAACATAGTTGTCAAAAACAGAGGATGGGTGGCTATCTTAATATCAGACAAAATAGACTTTAAATCAAAAAAATTTATAATAGGCAAAGGATAGTATACATTAACAAAAAGTTCAATGCAACAAGAAAACATAATAATTATAAACATTTGTGTATCTAGTAAAAGACCAGCAAAATATATGAAGCAAAAATGACAGAATTAAAGGGAAGACTAGACATTTATATGCCATAGATATGTCTATATATATATAGCTTTTCTATCATATCGATATCTATATATATCTATCTATAATGTTATATATACGTTTGTATATATAGCTTTTCTGTAATTGTTGGAGACTTCAATACCCCACGTTCAATGATGACAGAACAACTAAAGAGGAAATAAATAAGAAAACAGAGGACTTGAAAAACACAATAAATCAACTTATCTAACAAAAACAGAACATTCTACTGAATAACAGCAGCATTCACATTCTTCTCAAGTGCACAACGGACATTTTCTAGGACAGACCATATATTAGGCCTCAATATATTACGTCTCAATATATGTCACAAGAAAATCCTTTGAAGTTACAAATCAATAACTGGTAAAACTGGAAATTTTACACATTTGTGGAAATTAAACAACATACTCCTAAACAACCAATGGATCAAAGAAGAAATTACATGAGAAATTAGGAAAATGAAAACTAAAATACAACATACCAAAACTTACAGAAAGCAGTGAAAGTAGTGTTAAGAGGGAAGCTTACAGCTTTACGCACATTAAAAAACAATAAAGATCTCAAATCAACGCTCTAACTAAAACTTACAGAATTTGTAAAAGGATAAACTAAATCCAAAGCTAGCTGAAGAAAATTAGAACAAGAGATAAAAAGAAACAGAAAAACAATAGAGTAAATCAATGAAACCAAAACTGATTCTTTGAAAAGATCAACAAAATTAGCAAACCTTTATCTAGATGGACAAAGAAAATTACTTAGAGTGATTCATTTACTCTAGTAAATAAGAGTGAAGACATTACTACTGATTTTGCAGAAATAAAAGGAACATAACAGTATTATAAACAATTAATCATGGTTT